AAAATATATAACTAAAAATTTATGATCATTTATTAAATATTAAAAAAATGGAAATTATAGGTATTAAGAATTATTAAACCTTTAAAAATCTATTTGGATCATTATAATCTTAAATCTCTTATGATTATTAAGGTATTTAATAATAGATAATCATAGTAAATAAATAATCTTATATATTTCAACTTTAAAATTTATTATATTAAAGGAAAAGAAAATATTTAGGTAGATATTCTTAATAAATTAAAAGATTTTAATATTAAAAAGGTCAGAAAAGAAAGGGTAATATTCTAAAAAATATCCAATAATACCCTAATATTATTAGTGATATATCTGATTAAATTATAACATAAATGGGAATAAAGGATCAAAGAAAAAACCTTATAAATTAAAGATATTTTATTAATATAAGATTTTATCATTAAAGATATAATATTATATAATAGAAAAACCTATATATTATTAATATTACAAGAAGAATTTATATAAAAGATATATAAACATTTTTTATATAAATATTTAGGAATTTTTAAAATAATTATATAATTATAGGAAATATATAACTTTCTGGGAATTAAAGGGATAATTAGAAAGGTTATCTTAAATTATAATATTTGTAATAAGATTAAAAAAACCAAATATAAATTATATAGGTTTTTATAATTTATTAAGATTCTAAATAAATTATGGGATATTATTATATAGGATTTTATCATTAAACTACCTAAATCATAATATTTAGTAATCAAGGAGGAATATAATAATATATAGGTTATTATTGATAAATTCACAAAATATGGGTATTTTATGTCATTTAAAAAGATTTATATAGCCAAAGATTTGGTTTTTAAATTTATTAAAAAAGTTTTTAATAAATATAGACTATTAAAGAAGATTATTTTAAATAAAGATAAATTCTTTACCTTAAAATTTTAGATTAACCTAATGAAAAGATTAGGGGTCAAATAGAAATTTTCTATAATAACTTATTTTCAGATTAATGGCTAAATGGAATAACTAAACCAAATATTGGAATAATATTTATAAAGTTATGTTAATTATGAATAAGATAATTAGATAAAATTCCTATTATTTACTATATCTTTATATAATATTTTAATAAATAATATTATTAAAATATTATTATAGGAAATATTATATGGATAATAAGTAAATATAGAATATAAATCATTAACAAATAAGGTTATCCTTGAATTAGAAATAATATTATCTTAAATAGAAATATTTATTATCAGAATTCTAATATTATAAACTAAATTTAAATAATATCTTAAATTTTTACAAAAATAAATGGTAATATATTATAATAAAAAGAGAATTAAAGGATCAATTCTGTATAAGGGAAATAAGATCTATCTTTTATAAGATAAACAATATTTAATATTAAAAATATCATAGATTTAAACTAAGAAACCAAATAAGAAATTAAATTTTAAGAGGTTAAGACCTTTCTTAATTAAAGAAATCCTTTTAAACATAAACTATCATCTATAATTATTAATAAATTTAAAATTAAAAATTAATATATTTTATATTGTTATATTTAAACTAATATCCAAAAATATTGAATTTGAAAAATATATTGAATTAAAGGAAGACCCAGAAAAATATAATATCAAAGCTATTTGGGATTTTAGAATCATTAATAATTAGATTAAATATTTTATTAAATAATTTGATTATTTAAAAGAAAATAATATCTAAAAATTATAAGAATATTTTATAAATAAAAAGATCTAAAAATTAATTAAAGATTTTTACTACCAGAATCTAAATTAATTAATAATAATAAATTAAAGTTTATATCCTTAAAGAAAAAATTAAAAAAGGGGTTAACCATAAAAATTATATTAATTTATACCTTAATATTATATTATTATTCCCCTGCCAGACATTATTCCTTTTTTGATTATTCTTGTTCTTTTAATTCCTCTAAGTTTTAAAAATTATATTAAAATATCTTTAAACCTTTTTCTTTTAATAATTCCTTTTATTACCTAAATTATTTAACATAAACTAAAGCTTTAATTATTTTAATATAAAAATATTCAAAGGCCTTTTTAACCTAATACTCTTGAATAAACAACCATTTTTCTTCATTTTCAAACCAGGAAAAGAAATTAATAAGGATATTTATTTTATTACATTAACAATAATATAAAATATATTTATTACACTTTTTAAATACCTTAATTACCATTATATATTTAAGATTATGATTAAAATAATATAAATATAACATAATATTTATATTAAAATTAATCCTACCAATCCATTCTAAAAATTCTATATATTCTTATTTTTAATTAATATATTTACATTTTACAGATAGATTGGTAAATATGATAAAGATTAAATTAAAAAGGATTTACCAAGAAAAAGAATCTTCAAGGATAAAGGAATTAAGGAAGGAAGAAATAATGTTATAAATCATATAAGTCTAACAAAGATATAAAATCCTAAAAGAAACCTTTTTCCTTACCAAAATGAAACAATGACAATAGAAATACATAACACATAACATAAATAAATATAGATAAGGATATCCAGTCTCATCCAATAAATATAACATAGATAAATATAGATAAATATATCTAATCTCATTTAACAAATGTAATAAAGGATGAATATAGATAAGGAGATCTAATTTTATCTATAAAGAAAATAATAATAAAGAATATCTATATAATTACCATAATTCTCCTATATATCTAATTATTTTTTCATAACTCTTTAATTATCAATCTAAGACTATTCTTTTAAATATAATAAGAGAACTCTAAGCCTCTCTGACAAACAGAACTAACTTAACCACTTAACCTACTATTAATATTATTACTTTCAAATTAAGAAATCCCGGATTAACCAATCTATGACGAACCTATGCCTTAGAAAAGTATAGTCATTATTAGATTAACTAATCTGGAATTTTTTTAATTTAAAGGTAATAATATCAATAATAGGTTAAATAATTAAATATATTCTATTCATCAAAAAAGCCTAAAATCCTCTTATTATGTTTAAAAAAATAATCTTAAATTAATAACTAAAGAATCATAAAAAAATAATTAAATATATAGGAGAATTATAATAATTATATAAATATTTTTTATTATTATCTTTTTTATAAATAAAATTAGATTTCCTTATTTATATTTATCCTTTATTATATTTATTAAATAAAATTAAATATATTTATCCATATTTATTTATGTTACATTCATTAGATGAAACTAAATACCTTTATTTATATTCATCTATATTATATATTATACACTCCTATCCCACTTTAATAAAAAAAAAGATTTCCTCTAGGATCTTATATCCTTATAAACCTATATAATTTATAATATTATTTTTCCCTTCTTTAATTCCTTTATTCTTAAAGATTTTTTTTCCTGGTAAATCCTTTTTAATTTAATCTTTATTATATTTACTAATCTATTTATAAAATATAAATATATTAATTAAAAATAAGAACATATAAAACTTTTAAAACAAATTAACAAGATTAATTTTAATATAAATATTATATTATATTTATATTATTTTAATTATAATCTTAAATATATAATAATAATTAAAATATCTAAAAAATATAATGAATATATTTTATATTATTATTAATATAATAGGATAAACATTTCCATTAATTCCTTTTCCTAATTTAAAAATAAAGAAAAATAGTTATCCATTTAAAAATATTAGGTTAAAAAAACCTTTAAATATCTTTATACCAAAATAATTAAAACTTTAATTTATATTAAATAATTTAGGTAATAAAAAGAATTATTAAAAGAAAAAAATCTAAAGATATTTTAATATAATTTCTAAAGTTTAGAAGAACTAAAAGAATAAAAATAATTAAAAAAGAAATAATATCTGACAAAGAAATAATAATATAATATTAAAATATAAATTAATATAATTTCCATAATCAATCTTTTCTTTAATTTTTCCCTTAAAGATATAAACTTTAATTTATTATTATTAATTAATTTAGATTCTAATAATAAAAATCTTTAATTAATTTTTAGATCTTTTTATTTATAAAATATTCCTATAATTCTTAAATATTATTCTTTTCTAAATAATCAAATTATTTAATAAAATATTTAATCTAATTATTAATAATCTTAAAATTATAGATAATTTTAATATTATATTCTTTTAAATCTTTTTTTAAATTCAATATTTTTAAATATTAATTCAAATATAACAATATAAAATATATTAATTTTTAATTTTATATTTATTAATAATTATAATTAATAATTTATTCTTAAAAGGATTTCTTTAATTAAAAAAGGTTTTAATTTCTTAAAATCCAATTTCTTATTTGGTTTTTTAATTTAAATCTAAGATATTTTTAATATAAAATATTATTTATCTTATAAAAAATAAACCTTATTTTTTTTATATAGAATTAATCTTTTAATTCTCTTTTTATTATAATATATTACCATTTTATATTATAAAAATTTAAAATATTATTTAAATTTAACTTATAATATTAAAATTCTAATAATAAATATTTCTATTCTTAGTGATATTATTTTCAATTTTAGGATAACTTTATTTATTAATAATTCTTATTTTATATTTATTTATTATCCATATAATGTTTTTTATGGTAAAAGGGAACGCGGTGCAAGCCGCGCCGGGTTTGGCGCCGTCCCGATCAGGTCAAGTGCTGACGTTCGCCCCACTCGCCGCTTTTTGACATTGGCCCATGGCGACGTCGCGTCTCGCGCCGCCGCATATATAGAACTGTCCTCCCATCTGTCACGGTCTTGTATTCTTGACTTTTCGTGCCCTCCTTTTTCCATGCTTCGTCTCCACCGAACCTTCGCGGTCGCGCCCTCTTCCCTCTATTTCGCTTAAGATCCTGGGTTCTTAATTCCCCTTGTTTGGCTCTATTCTTCAGGCCGTACTGTTTGTATTGTTGTGTCGCGCTGAAATTCGAGCTGGCCACCGCTCGCTCTCTTGAAACTCCTTAGCCCTCTCGCTTTCCCTCTAAACTCCAACTTCGAACTTCATCTCGATTCTATCCTCTGGTCTCTTCAATGGAGACAGCCATATGCAATTCTCGCAAACCTATCTAGCCTCTACAACGACGCATTTGTGTCCCCACCCTGTATGCCACCAGCTGCCTTCTTTCTATCTGTTCACGCAGAATCCCAGTCCGCTTACAGGATCTTTGGCACTGTTGGCATCGCCTCCCTGTCTTGGCTAATTACAAAAATGCCGTAGGCGACGATCGTATGTTTGTGGAAATTAGGAGGCCTCCCTTTCTTAGCATCACAATTCAGGAAGTTGACATTTGCGTCTGCGGGCTGATTGCAGGAGGTCATGATTGGACTGATGGCCAGTAGCAAGACGCGGTGGATGAGTTTCGGCTGGTCCTCGAGCTGACGTGGCCTCTCTAGACCCATGGCAATGCACTAATCCCTCTGGGGCGTGATATGAGGGACAATTCCCCTTCATTTGTGGCAATGGCAAGGCAGATCCGTGTCATGCGAAGGTGTTTGCTGGGTACAGCAGGAAGGCGTACAAGGCAGCGCTGTAGAAGCTCAGCCTGTTATTGGTGCTGGGCTGAAATGACGTGATTAATGGGATACGAGTTCATGCAGAAAAGGGCCGGAAGTTGGAGACAACGATGCACCTTTGTCACCGACCAAGCCTTCTCGAACCAACATTGGAGACGCCGTGAACCATGTGCCGTTAGATTGGGGAGATGATTTGCGGCGGCGACGGCGATGCCCCTGTGAGGACTGTCTCTAGCTGTCTCGTCTGGTTCCGGGCAGTTATACGATTGGCAGAAATACGAGGGACTGAGGAAGCTGTGCTTTGTTTTTTGTTCCCTTGCTATCATGTGGAGGGCAGCTCGCAAATTAGCATGCTTTTATCGCCAGGATGCTGGGGTTAATAAAAAGAGATCTAGTGGAAAACGAGAATACGCTTACTTCTCTAGTCCTATTGCGAAGCCCGCCCGTCTCCCATACGTATATATGTTCCACCTGTCCCTGAGCCAAATTGTCAAGTATGCTTCTTAGCTTACACTTAGAAATCGTTCCATATTAGCATTATTTGCAATCTGTGCATACTCGCACTCCGACGCCATGACTGACGACATGCTAAATCATGAAATATCTGCTGCTTCCGGGGCTGCCACGTTAATGCCTACTGGGAACTCGCCAGGTGATGCCTTGCTATTATCTAACAATTGGGAGTCTGATGAATACGATCTCAGTAATAGTGCATCCAATACTTTATTCCAACCGCTTAGCGAGCTTTATCGGCATGGTCCCAGAGACGTCGAGTTTGGCAGTATTGCTACTCCTGGTACGTCTACGCATTTTCCATTTGCAACGAGCTGTTCTGATCTAACATATTTTAGAAGGCAAATTGTCTTCCTCTATATCCGATTCCGCTCCCACCGCTATCAGTGACGAATCTACATTGGTCCATCAGCAGACAAAATATAGCCAACAGCACGGAACTCTACCAATGGAGTGGGACCAGCCAATGCTCGCAAGCATCGCTTTGTATGGGGCAGAGCTGACATTCGGTGACACACGATATATAGCCGCCGAGATACCCCACGCGATTCCGCCAAAAGTCCCAACTCCTCATTCACCCTGCCCAGGGCATCACAATACCCGTCCTTTGCAATCAGACGACATTTCTCAAAAGTATATGCGACTGAATGGCGCTTGGAGCAAAGGCGATAGCAATGATGAAGCTGGGGGACGGGTCCAGCGTAACAGCGCCGAAAATGACAACACGGCTGATCTAGGTTCGCATATAGATTTCTCGTCTTTAGGCGATGTGCCAAAACTAACGTGGCTTTTAGACGAAACTCCCAAAGATGCGCTTAGTGCTAGTAACGGTATCAACATAATCTCCAAAGAGCCGTTCCTCACACAAAGAGCTATGGATAAGATTGCATCGAGCCAACAGCAACAACCGTCTAGCCCGCAGGGTTCTCCAGCACCATTATGTATTCCGGCGCTACGGCGCACTGGTAGTCTTCCCTCTGAGACTGGGCAGAAACCCGTTAGCGACTATGAATCTGGTAAGGTGACCTCTCATGCCTCACCATCTAGAGTCGAATTTCCATCACTGCCCAGCTCACTCAGGATCTCTACGCTTTCTCCCACGCGGCCGGAAGAAATTACTGATCCACATGACCTGGCTAGCGGCGACAATGGTCGCCAAGAACCGCCAAAGGTCAAATGGAAGTTAAGACCGAGAACGGCAGCACTTGCTAAGAATCGCCGTTCCCCCAGCAAGTCTAGCTTCGATTCCAACGACGAGGACACTAGTGATGGTGACTATACTGGGCGGCGAAAACGGCGTAGAAACCCACCTGGCTCCAAGATGCCAAACAAACGTCACTATCGCTCAAGTGGCTTCGAGAGATCCCCTGGCCCACACAGCATCTCCACGCCGCCATCTTCTCAGATTCATAGCGACGAAGAGGATATTCCAGGGACGCCTACCGCGGCATTCGAGGAATGGCCTCTTCAGGGCGCTGTCCTAAAGCGGGTAACGGTGGGCAACTATACCATCTTCCAGTTGCAATTTACCTGCCCCAGCGTATCCCGAGGGGCCTGTAGCTGTACAAATAGAAATCGAGAGGACCGGCCATCTACTGGAACAGAACTCTCTATGGAGCAAGGCATGTTACGCACCGTTGGTTCCGAGGCTGAAGGCTCCATACAAGATTGCAATGAAGAATATGCTGTGGAGCAGATTCGGGGCCATAAATTCACCAAGCCCGGTAATAAAGGGCTCCAGCTCCACGTTAAATGGCGCAACTTTCAAAAATTGACTTGGGAACCGGTGGAATTAATGGAAGGCACGGAAGCATACGATACATATCTGAAGGGTAATGACATCTCCCGACCTTCCAAAACATGCAAACGTGGTCGACCGAAGAAGCCCAATATGTCAGTTTGTGACAAGTAGCTTATATTATTGACTATATTGGCAGGGACAGGTTGATCCTGGGCTTCTAGGTAAAGGAGGGCGTCTCGAAGGTACTTGTTGATATATGTGGCATGCTTGTGTGTTTCGATTGGTCATGCTCTCGCGTTGGGCCATGAGGTTGCCATGGTGCCTTTTGGGCGCATTGGATGATGCGTCGCGCACTAGGCTATTCAATTGACCATTCAGGATTGTGTTTAAGCTCTTGATTGTTATAAATTCCTAAAAGTTTTTATACTTAATATAAATTTTTTTAAGAAGCTTTAGAAACAACTAAAAATAAAATAACGTTTGGTTACATACAGATAAGATATGCCCAGATACATCCGGCAAAAAAGGGTACGTACCTAGATAAGTCTGGCAGAAAAGGGTACATACCTAAATAAATCTGGCAGAAAAGGGTACATACCTAAATAAATCTGGCAGAAAAGGGTACGTACCTAAATAAATCTGGCAGAAAAGGGTACGTACCTAAATAAGTCCAGGAATGTAAATTATGACTCGAACCCTTCCGCGATCTTCAAACCAAGGCCGCTTTAACTAACTTGTCTCCCATTTCGCTTCCTGGTATGTTGACGTGTCTTGGACACCGGTGCGGATAGATTCGCCACCCTTGGCAAGCTGTTAAATTTTCTACGAGATCTCCCTAATCCTTTTCTCGACGCAGAGCTAGAAGGCTTTTTCGACCCTGATGCGGGTCAGCTTACAGAAAACTGCCCAGTTTTGAAGGGTCCTATTAGAATAGTGTTTCTTCTGTGAGTCATCTGTGTATAAGATATGGGTGCTTGGATTCATCCAGATAGCATGGATCAAGAGAAATTACAGATCTCTTTGTCTTAATCTAGAGATATAAAAGAGATAATATTTTTGATAATATTAATATAAATTATGACTTAGTTCCGGAAAAGATGTGTATAATGAACCTATATCCTGGTTAGGTCAGTAGATTCTAGGTTTTTGTCATAACCCAATAAACCCAAGAGGGGACCCAGTGAAGAAGGCATCAACCGGAAGAAGGATGAACCGATGGAATCACGTGACATGGATCAGAAGGATCATGATCCTTCTGATCAGTATGGATCATTGGGATTAATATCATGATCCAGTAATGAATCTTCGGGATTAGTTAGATCAGTGATTAATGTGATCACTAGATATCTAATATAAATCATATATAAGTACAGAAGAATATATAAGGAAGAAGGAATTTCCTATATAATTAGTCACTCTCTTCATAGTTCTTTAGTTATTAATCTAAGACTATTCCCTCAAGCTACGAGAACATAGTGAGAGGACTCCATACCTCTCTGACGAACAGACTCTATTTTGCTACTTGACTTCCTACGAGTATTGTTACCTTCAAATCAAGACATTCCGGATCAGCCGATCCAGCAACGACTATACCCAGTCCGGGGTATAGGTTCGTCACACTTCTCCTTGAAGTAGATCGATGAGCAGCTATTTTGTTGAGCCCTTTTTCTGACGTAGTTCCCTTAACTTCGCAAGTCGCCTTAGCTGGGTTATGGGTAACTGATCGTGCGAGGTGGGAGAAGCCATCTCTAGTAAGGTGGTAAGTAAGAGGCGCGGATGAGTTTGCCACTTCATAATCGTGTGCCCCACAATGAAATTTATACTAAAGGAAGATTGTCTACCTACCTAGGTAGGTAGGCTTAGTGGGTTTTGCATTTCAGTACCTGTATTTTCGATTCCAGAAACGGAATCGTAAAATTGAAATTCGGTTTGCTATATACTGACCTGACATTGTGATCCAGATTTCCACCGTAAACCCCGAAGAAAGTTCCTACAAATTTCATTCTACTGCTTTTTTGGTTTCCTTTGCCGGTATGCTAATGGTAAAAGCTGGGGTGGTGCGACAACTGGAAATGTGATATTATTCAAGCCTCGGAAAGGTTGTGAGAACAAAACCTCTACGAATCTAGTTAGCCCCGAAAGGTTCTGGAGAAGGGGAATAGGAAGCCAAAAAACGGAAAGCAACGTACAAATATATTTGCCAACTGGTCGAGACCTGCCCAGGGCGCGTAAGCATGAATGTTAAGTCCCTGGCCTTTGGAAAGCAGGCTACCCGCCCGCCCTAAAGATGCCCCAAAGATGCCCCGTCTATTTGAATAAAACTTGCAAATTGCGACAAATACATAAATAGGTACCTACATGCATTTAACAGTGGTAAGAAAAAGGAGGAAAGGGAAGGGTTAATTAGGTATTATTGTAGATAATGTATTCACTACGTTAGCTATTGTGGAGATAACTAAGAATATGAAAAGCCCAGCGTTAATAATCATAAATTTTAAGGTTGTTAACACTCGATCCATTCGACTATGCGCTTCTGTATCGTTCTTCCTAGGTTAATTATGTTTACTAGACGAAAGCATTTCTCAACTCGACAGAAACCATCGTCATGATCTAGGCACCTTTTGCGACAATTGGGGCAGTCCCTGCACCATGTCGTGATACATTTTCGGCAGAATACGTGTCCTATTGTGAGGTCAGTATCACATCTCGTAGCGCGGGGCGTCCTACATACCACAATGCCTCATCCACACGAAGTCATCCATTGAATGAAAGCAGATAGAGCAAGGATCTTGCAGCCCAAACACTTGGCGAATACTCTGTAGTTCGTTGCCGCAACTCGGGCTCGGGCATTCACGAAGACCTGTATGTTCGCACAACGAACACAGTACCTAAAGGAGACAACATGTTAGGGGCAGGTCTTCCCAATAATGGGTGACTTACATGACCACAGTCCTGCAACATATAACCAGTGCCTTCGATGTCTTGCCAACAACAAACACAATTCCGTTCAACGCCCGTCAGGTCAATTTGTGGTCGGTAAAATACCTTCCTCGCGTAGAGGTCGCCACAGGTCGTGCCGGGGGTCCAAGTTGACTTAGGTTCGGACATGTTCGACGAAATTATCTCTATGATCCGTTTGTGGTGAAAAAATAAAAGGGGGTGAGGAGGGAGTAGAAAGAGAAGAAGAAAGGAAACGCGTCGCGGCGAGGGTATCGATCCTTATATACACACGCCCGACACCAACCCCACCGCAAAAATGATGCCGAGCATTCCGAAAGGGTGTGATGATCATCGGAGAGTGCCTAGCCTGGTGTTCATGATCGAGAGGGTAGCGAATTTGGAATCTTCTCGCATGCATTGGCCCTACTTGCTTCATTCTGCTTCTTCATTCGCTGGTGAGACAGGTTAGAGGGATCTTGTGAGGGTAATCAATACCTGTTCTAGGAGCGAGGGCCTTCTCGTTGTAAGTGAACCCTCATGCTACGATACCGTGGCCTAGCTATAATATTCTTTCTCTCCGCCGCTACAAATCTTCCGGCAGTGGGGGGCAGGCTCCCATGCTTCAGAGAACTTCTTGTCGTAAACTAGCCCACGTTCGGGGGCCGGGATCGAGTTGAATCGAGAAGGACACTCTCTTAAATGGTCTGATTATACGAAAGCCCAGCTAAATAAATACACCCATGAATGAAAGAAGTGGCCTCATAAGCCGCTGCCGTCCTAAACGGGATTGCCATTAGCTAACTAAGAAGGCTACCAGTACCATTCTCCTAGTTACATGTAGTTACAATAATTAAACTGAAATAAATGTATAACTTTCTACCTTACGCTTGTGGGTACCGAAGTACTGAACCAGGAAGGCTTACGCCACAACACCAGCCACCCCCTTTTCTATTCAATATCGAGCAACTTAATAGGCATTTATCACATATGAAAACTGGTTACAAAAACACAACCAAGAGGTTCATCCAGAGGTTCAGATTAAATCTATTGAAATGAAATCCTAACTGGGTTGCAAGGAGACACAGTACAAGACATCAGAAACATAAGAGCTTTCATAGGCAAACGATCGCGTTTTGGATAATGTCCTGAAAGTCAACCATCGATGCTTCAGTTTCCACTACTAATATCGGGATTCCGAATCCAATGTATGCGCAATTCTGATATCCTTAACCGTAACTTTGCGGTTCTGGGCTTTGTACGATGGCTGAAGGCGGCTTAGGGCAATGCCACCGAAGTCGGTTAGTCTTTTGCTCGTTTGTTCCCATTTCATTCGGTATTGGCTACCGGCTGTGATTGAGAGTGGGGTATAAATTCCGTTTCTGCAAAGTCCACCTGTAAGTGTGGTGAAGTGACGGTAAATTCACGGATCCGTCGAGAGAATCGTGATGATCCGCAGACTGTTCGTTGCATGTTAAAGAAGTTCAACCCGAATAGTTGTTTCACTTACCCAACGCTATGCCCTTACCAAGGGAATATGAATTCCATTTAATATAGTGGTCGATGCTCTCATCAACCATCTTATCCGAGTACCCTGAATAGGTCTTCCAGAATTTGGCAGATTCACCGGAAACGTGTAGTTGATGATTGGTTGTTCGAAGGATAGAACAATCGCCCCGACACCAAAGTCTACGGTGTTAGTGAAAAAGGGACTAGGGAGAGGGGCCTTACTTTTTTCGCATCAAGGTGCATTATTTCTGTCAGTTGGTCCTTGCGCCAGTTCTCCTCCTCGTCCTTATCTAGCTTCCACAACAGATCGACTTTCCTCGTGACATCTTTATAGAGGGGCGTATTCGTTGTTTTGAATTTCTCATCATGCTGGCGCCGATGGGCCAGGTGCAATGCATACGGTAGTATACCGGCAATTCCGATGCCCTCCCCGATGAGGATTACAGTTTCGTAGGTTTCTAGGCGGAGATCTTTGCCATAAGGGCCTTCTAAGAAGAACCAGTCGAGGTTCCGGCCGGATAGCTGGGCGCTATGCTAGACCAGGAAATTAATTTCTCCTGTGACGGCTTCACCAGGGAGGATCTTCCAGAAAAATACCATCATAGGAAACCCTTGAAGCTTAAGGCGAAGCGGAAGGCCGGAAAAGTAAAGGTAAAAGTACATCCCTGGATAGGATCGAAAAGGGTTTCTTAAGCGGACCTTGAGATACGTAGCCTTGTTTTCAGACCAGTGCACTTCGAGATGTGTACCTGCCCTCCATCGCAAATATAGCGCCGTCTGGTATACCGTCGACAGTATCCATAGTCCCGCAGCGATAAACACTGGTGTTTTGTTCAAAGGTTTCTGTGCAAGCACGTGCCAGAGTAGTATTGTTAAAATGGGTTTCTAGGGCATGTATTAATCACTATAATCTTTTTACGATCTGCTTACCTTATCTTCCCCCCTTGAGTCCAGGAATAGCTACTTTCTTTATGCTTGTTTAACGATAGTACATGATATTCAGTATAGCTTCCCTTCTCGGATACGAGATTTGCCAAGAGCTGTATTAGTGCCTTATGTGAATACAGCACCTTACAGCGCTTCCAACAAACCTATCAGCCTCCATCCTTACATATGTTGGTGATGGCTTCCTATCAGGATGCTACAAGTGCCATAACAAGTATTGCGTATAAAACCCCTAGCCGCCTGCGTACTGGTGGCGGCGAAATCAGTAATAGAAGAACTAGGAGGACCGCAGCCTAAATGGCACATGAGCCTTGTGCTAACATTTCATTGTCAATGCACTTACAATCCATCCGGATATAGCTAGCGTATCTCGCCTCGACGGGCCTCGTGAAATGCTTATACCAGCATGAAGCAACCCTTAAGCGACAGCAATATGGCCTAACCAGACGTGCCACAAATGATAAGTCCGGAGCGAGACATTGGCAAGGTCGGCGAGAGGGCTGGTGCGCCCACCGAGGAAAAGAGGTATCATGTTGAGGGTCAAGATGACAGCAGCCCGTTGTTGAAGGTCAGCCCTGCCTCGCAAAAAAAAAAAAAAAAAAAAAAAAAAAAAAAAAAAAATACCAAGACGATAATGTTGGCTGTTCCGTAAGCCAGCAGGAACATAGCCTGGAGACGAGTCACATGAGCGATTAGAATTGGATAGAATGCGTGTCGATTGAACCAAGTCCCCATCTTTGAACGGAAGATCTGAAGCAATCGAAACAGCACAAAAAACAGAAAAGACGATCCACCAGCAATGGCATACCATCCAGCAACTGAAATATTTGTCGCCATACCGACAAGTGTTGTCTTATCCCGGACGGTATGGGATACAGTTGAACGCTGGAGTTCGGCTACTCAATAAACTGCAAAGAACGGACTACAGTCCCATCTCTTGCGCCTCGGCACGAGGGGTCATGGCTATGTCCTGATGTAGTTACATCGGACCGCGTGATACGTCCTAGAAGCCCGGTGATGAGTATCAGAGAGCGGGGATGTGGGATGAGGAAGCGCTGGTACGCGGAGTGGTACTAATGGTACTCACCTCGTCCATTCCCATATGAGACAGGCTATCAAACTAGGTAGCTCCGGCTTATTTAAGGAGATAGAGGCGGCCACGATACTCGTAGGATGCGTGTGGTATGGTAATGGGATATAGGAAATTGCATTTTGTAAGGTATGTATTGGCCCTGGCCTATCATGTCCATATACAGCTTTGGTTATAAGACTAGGCAAACCAGAAGGTCGAGCCAATATCAAGTGACAAGTGGTTATTCGAGACAAGTCTAGGCTGGCTGTAGTTTCATCTCTTGGTCAAGACTCCGAGATCTATCCGTAGTGAGAGCGTCCTTTCGTAGCGGAGGCGTGTCCGGGTGCTTGCCAAAGCTCCCTCGAAGGCAGACCGCGAGGCTGGAAATGCCAACCGCCCCATCTTCGCCCTTTAGAGCAAGTGCTAAACGGTCTCCGCTACGGATATCCTCTAGCTTATATATAGATTCAAAAAAAGCAGGGCTGACGAAAATATAACTTTACCAACCTAAAGCAGATAATAGAACCTTGTAAACTACACTCTCAATTATGAAAGAAAACAGAAAAGTTTAGAGTCTTAATCAAGAGATAGGAATGTAGTTAATCTATACTTATTTTATACAAGTAGAATCGCCTATCCCTTGCTATTCTATGTTATCTGACCTAACTTATTAAGATTGGCTTCTTCGCGATATACACGCTCTTACATTCCATACTATACCAATCTTGCAAGGCTTCGGGCTACCTGTCTCCGGCCTAACAGAAGAGTTAGCTTGGGCGTTCACAGGTGGCGCCCTCTATTCTCAGATGG